TTTGATACAAAATTCAGCACTCAAAATTTCAAAATGGCGGACTGAGGGGTTGCCGAAGTGGGGGGTTTTTCTATACAAAACACCTTATATCTCAGTAGCTAATTACCAAAACCCCATCGTATGTTATATGAATTTTCTTTTTTTGAATTCGTTTGTCCAAATATGCAATAAAATTTGAGGCATTCCATTAAAGAAATCACAACATTAATATGTAGATCAAAATTGGGACCCCCTGTATAATTGCCAATATTTCAGAAATGTGTCCTCAAATGTCATGTATAACATGCCATCAATATATTTTCCCTAAATGTATTTGTTTATGAGTAATATTCCGTCCACACATGGATGGGCCACCCTGTATATATCAATTACTTGATGTTAGTAAACTTATACGCTATCAACTTCGGTTATTTTAGGAATCTATTAAGCATTCTTCACACATGATAAATTTCCCCGTTCATTATACCTCAAAATGATAGAAATGTTCTTGAAACGGGGACTGCTTCTGCTCCCAGTGGCGTACCGGTCTTGGTGAGTGATCTGATATTACAGCCGCGCTGCTGCTTCTGACCGGGTTATTTATCGGAGAGAACCGACGATGCCAGATGGACTACCAAAAGAACAGGGAAAGAATGTCTATGGGCTAATTGTATGGATATAGTTTGGCTGACTTGATGTGTCCATTCGCTCTTTTATACATGTCATAACTAACTGTTTTCTCAGAGGGTCTAACGGATGGTAGCCTTGCGTGGGAAGTGCAGAATCAACGTAGCCATTATTGAATCGCCAACACTCGCTTCCATAAGCGGTGTTCTGTCAACCAGAAACAGCAAAGATTATTTTCATTCAAATCAAGGACATAACCTCAGAAAAGCTTGCAACTACTAATTTTTTTCGTCCCAAAATCCACATTTTCCATTACAAAATACTCTCTTTTAGGGCTCCGGTCACAGCAATAGCGCCACGGGGCTCAATTCTCCAATCTTGGTTAACTTTTTTCATGAGAAATGCCGGTTTACGATTGACAAATCTGACCCGTCTGTCCATCAGAGAATATTACAACACCATTTCCTGTTATGCTCGACAACACGAAATCCGTCGAATAGGTCAAGCCTTGTTGATGATTGTGGCTGTAGTACATCTAGATTTGTTCTTGAAGTACTGTACAGAGGAGGTAGAGAATGGTTTGAACTTCTTGTCAGCCTTAACTTTTTTGAATACTTTCATGCACCTTCCTGTAAATAAAAAATGTCGGTCACTCGGCGTACCAAATTGAAAAAAATCATAAGTGAGCGTGATGTATCCTTCAACTTTGTTATTATTCCCAAGCCCTTCCTCTTCCTTTCAACATGGATATAATGAGAGGAGAACGTGCTAAAAATCCATGCACGACATCCTACGTTTCGGCCTTGGTTGGCTTGGCTCGATTCAGACACCAGTCGTTCGGTCAATCATATAATGGGCCTTGTTAGCGCATCATTATACACCCTACGACTTTCAAGTCTGCCCGATTACATTGTTACCAGTCACGTGGTGTTAAATGTGCTTTTTTCATTCACTAGCTGGTCCTCCCTCTTTCCTTGACACTATTCGTTTTTAAAGATCGTAAATTTAGTGAATGTTTCTCTTCATTACATTCAACCGTGACGTCAAACCAAAGGTATAAACCACTTTCAATTGAATTAAAATTTCAAAATCAATACATTTTTTCAATTGAATTGTCCCATATTTTTTGCACATTCAGTAAGATCTTTCCAAAAGAAGAGCTCGATATAACATGTTTATGATTAGTTGGCTGATTTAAGATGATTCAATATAGAAAAATCCTTAAATTCGCCGGTGTGTTATTTCAAAAGATAGTTAATTTATATTTTAAAGTATTGATGAGGAGCTGCGAAATGAAAAATCATGTGACCCTCATTCCGATTAAAAAATCTTTCAAGATGCTATGCTGCGATGTTGAAATTTTCAACTGTTGCTTTTTCGTTAACATATAGTATTCATGCAACAAATTTGTCACCTTGATTTTCGGCCTTCTGTTCAAAAAATAAATTATTCACATTCACTGTATACTGAGAATAATACTCATTTGAAGTGTTGACCAAATATACAGGCAAAGTTGATTTCACAAGACGATATCGACTACTCTTGTTCAAGGTATTTCTCTAACAAACTTCCTAAAAGCCGGTCTATATTATTTTGGTCCACCTGACCCGTTTTAAGTGTTTGGATGAACTTCGGCAACAACGCGATAGTTAGGGGATGGGACGAGCTGCCACAGAGATGAGCCAACCGGAAAGCTACATTTTAGTTGTCCTTGTATTATTATTTCTATAGACAGCACAACGCATATGCTTCCGTTATACACGACATCACGCAGTTGATTTCACCAGCCCGTTTAAACCACCGAGGGACCGAGGACATCAACTATTCCCACTGAATGTCGTATCATTTCATTCACTCAAATCTCGTCATTGACACTGATATGGTGTTTTGTCAAATAAACGTGCCAAGATAATTTGACTAGAGTCTAGTACTCTCGACTACATCGAATGGAGTGTGTTGTTAGTTTCACCAGACTATATCCTCTAATTCACCCAACCATTTAAACTGCTCCCGTTCCTGTTCCAATAAACTTAGCCAGTATATGGTATACAGTCTGGTGAAATTAACTTCATGGGCTTATTTGGAAACAAATCTGGAACAGGAGCAGTCGATGTCGCAAAGTGGACTGAGAAATAGTCTCGTGAAATTAGCTACGCAAATTTATTGGCCACACATATTGAATGAGAGAAGTCGATGCCATGAAAAGAATTAACGATAATAATTTGGTGAAATTAATTTCGCGAGTTCATTTGGCAAACACCTTGAGTGGGAGAAGTCGTTTTCACTGGAACAATTAACGAAAATATGGTGTAAAACAATCCCATATTCCTTGAAGCTTTTGTCTCAGTTCGGTGATTGTACGAGCAGGATGTTGTCGTAGAACCTTTTTCATCTTGTGCCACAAAGTTTCAATAGGTGACAGATCTGGACTGCTAGAAACCCATTTCAAAAGTGGTACATTATTTTCTTCCATCCATTTTATAGCCTTTTTTGAGATATGCCACGCTGCACCATCTTGCTGAAACACAGAATCTTGGCCGGATGTCAAACATTCTTCCATCACTGGTAAAAGCGATTCTTCTAAAATTGCCAAATATTTGTTTGTATCCACATTTCCATCAATAAAATGAAGTTTTAGTACTCCTTTTGATGACATACTGCCCCAGACCATAATGGATGCTGGAAATTTCACTTTTCTCTTCAGACAGTCAACATGGAATGCTTCATTTTTTTGCGAATAACTCTACCACATCACTCCATTGTATTGCACACCATTGTTGAGGTGTCCATTGTCTATGTTCTTTAGCCCATCTAAGCCGATTTTTGTTTTGCAGTGAAGTTAATAGTGGCTTTTCTTTGGCCTATAAACAAGTTGTGCAACTTTAGGGTTTTTACTTCACTTTTTTTATAAGAAAACTTACCTTACAAGTGCTAAATCCCAGTTTGTGGGCCTCTCTATGAGTTGTGGACCTGGAAATTCTCCTTCCAACAGCGTCACTCCACAGAGCACTTAATTGTAAATAATTAGCACGCCTGTTTTTCACGATTAATGCTCTTCGGTCGGCATTTGTGATATTACTAATTTTCACATATCGTGGCTTAATATTAATTGAACCAGTTACGCTACATCTTCTAACAATATTTCTCACACTGTACCGCGATAAGTCTAACAAAGTTGCAATTTGATTTCCCAGAATTAAAAAATTTAATTATCAGTAACCGAATTTGCTCACTAATAACCTTTCCTCTACCCATTTTGAAAACCTTAACTACCCAAAACTATTTTATACGTATTCTGACAGCTGTGATTAATAAAAACAATTGTCATGGCTTTTATTTTTCACAGCCACCTATGCGTTATAGACTTATTTTGCATTGAAATGAAAATAGGGTGATATGATGTAATTGCAACATGTGTTATTTTTATGCTGCAAATTTGATTAGGGAGTGATAAAGTTGGTGTTTTCTACTATATATTATCAAAATATTCATTGTTAATATTTTAAACCAATAACACCCTGCTACATTTTTATTATTTGTGTTTGATAAGAAAAAAACTAAGATTTCAATAGTTGGGCCAACTGAAGTGGGAAGGGGCTCGTATAACTCGGAAAATACTCCTCGGATTTGACTCAAAAATACATGGATGCAGGTTTTGAAATTTGTTTGACGTTTCAGAGCCATCAGCTCAGTTTTTATTAATAATAAATTTGTGATCCCGGTAATATTACGTACTTTTCTCATATGGAACCGATAATTGTGTCTAACATTGTTTTTCAAAAAATGCTATAAAACGCATTGGAACGAACAAAATCGTACCTGCCAGGAAAACCTTGAAACCACGCCAATATTTCTAGGTAAAAAGCGTGTTAAAAATAAGTAAATTCTGTTTATTAAACGAGTAATTGGTAATATCAACGAAAATCAGATTTAAATCAGCCACAAAATGAATTAATCGTTTATAAATCCTAGACTGATTTGTTTAGATAGAGAAACCGATATAGCTCGAACATTGTAAAATATTGTTTGTTTAACATGTCGGCCAAAGCCACGGCGGCGCGCGTAGACCAGACGCTCGGCAGTTCATCTTCTCGGATAAAAACTAACCGGCTACAAAGTCCTATTTGTTGTGACAGATAGACTCTTAATTTTTTCAAAATAACTAATAAGTTATAAGCGCGTTCTCAGAATTCGAAAATCCGCGGGGGCAGGTAGATGATAATATACTGCCGAGATTGCCGTACAAAAATAGAAATGAAAATATACGTGCCGGCGATCTCAAAAAAGTGAGAGCATACCTGCTGGGAATTTATGTGATTGATAATAAGAATGCATTGGGATATTTTTACGTATATCGTCACGGCAATAACTTGCAACACTATTTTTACACATACCTATGATCATACAGATTGGAGATGTTCTTCCTAGTCAAGTCCGCGTCGGCTGTCAAACCTGATGTCGTTGGGACCCAACAAACTCTATCTGTATTTTCATCGGTGATTTGTCTCCAAAACTCTTCTGCAGTAAGCATCACATTCTAATATCTAAGAATGCAAAATAATGTATGTTAAACCTTGACTATTAATCATTCATTATAGTGTATAGTTTTCTAGTTGCATAATTTCAGTATAGTGCACCAGGGTCCCAATTATTGACTCCTACGAAAATATTCTCATGCGGAAAATATTCCAGTGATTCTATACCTACGAGTGGCATATTTGGTGTTATCGGGTGCTACAGGAAATAACGTTAGAATATGGGTTTTTTTTATACAACATTTGGACCCTCAGATCATTAAGGAGATGAAGCATAAAGTCATACTTTGCTTTCTAGCCCTTCTACCAGCGGAAAATTACGTCTTAGTTGACTGACCACTTGGTCGCAGGACTACATCTAATTTTCAATAAAATCTCATCTAATTCAAAATTATTGAGTTGCTTTGCTGCTGAGTTCCCACCGAAAAGAATTGTTAAGCAGCTGATTCTCTCGTTTTGAGGTTGGGAATAAAGTACTTATTAATCAGAACGTATGATATATAGCAACTATCTTGGTTCTTAAAAGCATCAATTGAAAGAAGGGCGCAAACAAATTAAATCTGGCAAATTCAAGGAATGAATGAATGAAACTACTGTTTGCCAAAAAAAAAAACTCAAATACAATACACAGCAACAACTAACAACCTGTTGAAGATAACGCTTTGTATGCAAACATATTCATCGAGTCCGACCATCCCTCGTCCGTGCTATCACTCTTTTTGTACCAACTGCACTACTCCTGAAAGGGTTTCAACACATCCGAGTATCAGTAATTTTCAGAAGATGGCGACCGGAGCAGTAGCTGAGTTTTAACTATGAAATCTGCAAATATCATCTTTCATTAACTCTTGCAACTGCATACCGACCAGTGGCGGCAGTTATAGCAACCGTGGGCAACAGTTTGGTTGGACTTCTTAATTGCTGTCGGTGAAGTCGGTCTCTCGGAGATCTATTAATATTATTAAATATATATTATTAAACTCATCTATAGTCAGGTACTGAAATGGAAGAAGCATAATATATTGTACGATATTGAAGTGCCGCGAGGCCCGCAGTAGCAGTGGCGCACGATGCATTTTCCATGTTGGTACCAAAGTTATAATTTATACTTTTGCTGGCAAACATTATTTTATTTCGCAAACCGTGAAAGCATTCCATAAACGCTCACATGGTTGGCCCCAATATTCACACACGCCACTGACTTTCCGCAGATACCCGGTGATAAACTATACTAATAAGAATAGTAATTAGATATGTCAGACGTCTCTCACACGACTCACGTACACCGGATAGATGCAGTATACAACTTTCTGTGTTTGCACCGAGTGGACGCGACTGGACAATAACTCACTCTGCAGTCTGCAACTTCGCCGTTCACTAATGGCTGGGGACTCGACGGACGAGCAGCAAAAATATAGGGACGGACTCTGTATTGGGGATTGTTTTTGTGGTCGGAGCCGTTTTTGGCAGTCAGTAGCTTGAAAAAGAGGCATACCTATATATGTTCATTTGATGCTAACGACTCCTGCTTGGCTTTCAATTTGGTTTAGCTGCAGGTTCTTGGTTGCCCTCCTTTTTTGGACTAAATCCCATGATTGCATCAGTTTCAAAAAATTAGTAATGTATTTATCCGTACATAGAAATATCGATCGATCACATAAGCACGAGCGATGGAAATATTGATACTGCGTAAGTTTTTAAGTTTTTTTGGTCATTTCATCAATCTGCCCAATGGCATTTCCTCCGTAATGGGCATGCTGTGAGAAAGGGAAACGTAGTATATCAATGCTTCTTCATTTTTGAAAACCGGTTTTGTGGCGGTGGGGTGATGAGCAAAAAACAGTGTTCCACTGAAATTTTTCAACTTTCTGACTTTTGGGTGGAGTAAGAACATTTTTAGAGGAGTACATATTTTTCTACGTTTCGCACTTTTCACCGCTTAGCAACTTTTTGACCGATTTAGGGTGAAGTCAACACATTTTTAACGGCCTCAAAAATGTTCGAATTTGATGAGGCCGACTTTTTAGTAACATAATGTTGATACTGTTACTCTAAGAACAATCATGTATACAGAGACGCTTATATCAATGCCGAGTCGATCTTCCATTTTATAAGTTTTCGCTATCTACTTGCTAGATAACACAATAGGCTTCTTGACTTTTATCTAACTTCATAGAATAAATGGCAGAATTTGGCTTACGAAAACGAAATATATCCATTTCAATTAAAAGCGCGAGATGGATAAATAAGTCCAATTTAAAAAAAAACATTTTTTATTTTTAATATAAGATGTTGAAAACACTATGAGACGTCATACAAATTGTTAATAAGGAAACATCACTCGCGGAATAACGTTGTCTTCTTTAGTTATTTATAAGAAAAATCCTAATCAATATAGAAAGATATCGTTTCCTCGTTTTATCTAAAAATAATATGAACGTTGGATTCGTAAAAGCAGAAAGCAGAAAATTTGCCGAAAATTGACATATTGATCAATCAAGACTTCTACAGTACAATACATCCGATATAATAATAGACATAAAAAGAAAAAGTATTACACTTTCATAATGTTGCTTTTCAAAGGTCATTCAAAACTAAGCTCATGTGTCATAACTCCTGAATAATTTTATCTAATATTGTACACATCTGCAAGTGAATTGTACGGTGATGATGCCTTAGGTTACGTCTAACTTGAACGAGACGATAAATCTGCACAGTAAAATGTAAATAAAGTATGTCCCGAAAATAAGGTGTGCACAAATACACAGTATCGCTTATATTTATATTCCTGGACACTAAACCACAGATTTCCTGGAGTCCTTATCGATGTGTTTTTGCATTCTCGGACAATACATTAACTATAATTGTTATATTTTCCGTGTAAACTGGTAGAGGTAAGGTTTATATGTTTAAAAGTTTCAGAGGTCATACTGATGTCAGTTGCTGTTTAGAAATGGTATGACGTCAGAGTACATTGGTACATTCTATATGGGCCATACATGACAGACGACGTTTTCGCCTGTCTAAAAAGAATTAAATTAATGTTTTACGGTCTTTTAAATATAGTATTAATTTTTTAGTCTAATAGAACAAATACATTAACTATTTAAGACTTATTTAAAAAAGTGTCGATTACTCTATTATAAACGTTTCAATCGAACTCAAAAAGAAGAATCGCAATGCAGCTTCTTGAAACATAAAAGAAGCTATTCATTGCGAACAGTTTATATTTCCTTCCACTTTGGTATTTGATTAATGACTGCCGTAATGGATACAAAGTGAGGAACAAACGTTTCTCAGTTTTACGATCTAGACATTAAAAAACTGAATCAACTATCTCTATATCTGCATAGTTGTCTTTGATAAGAAATCAGAAAGCTAACTCCATCCTACTGCACAGTACTACAAACCCACACCTGTTTTTTCATCTTAACTCCCAGGATAAATATACATGACGATACTGGATCTACACAAGACACACGTCACATCCTGTGCAATACAAACGAGTTCGCTGGCAAAATTAACAAACGAGAAATATTTATTAGAGAAAGCGAAACGGGAATTGATTCATGTCTGATGGAGAGCTACCGTGGCCACAACTACCTGTGGTCGAACCCGTACACACTACATTATTTTAAAGTTAATGGAAAAACAACGGACACGTTGTAGCAACTACATGCTATCGCTATAATTCTTTCTATTTTCTAGCGTTTCAGAGATAATAAACTCGACTGCTAACGTTTTGTTTGCATTATGCAAGTATTTACGTCAATAAATGCTTTTGCAAATTATTTGATTGTCTCTTGACTAAGAGCCGTATCGTCGTTCCTACAATTGTTGGACGCCTTTATGGCCTCCTTGATTGTCATAGTCTTTTCTCTTCTTCAGAAAGGCTGGGATATTTCTACATTTCTACTGTTCCGTGTTAGCGTCAGCGCTCTCCTATGTTGGATATGTTTTCTTCTCAATTGTAGGAAATTTCAGGCTATATAACAGATGATATAAATCAAAAGCATGAACAATCTGATGCAAATAGATCCTATACTCTACACAAGTTCTCAATTCAGAATTCATTTTTGTCTGTAATCTCATAAATCAAAATAACAGGAATGATACGAAGATGCTAAGGTCGTATTTTTGTTCGAAGGAATAGGATGCGATCGGGTCGGCACCCTTATTCATAGCTGTAACTGCAACGGTCTGTACCTGTATGTAAAATTGCGATTTCTTATATCAGATTGCATAGATATCACTCACTTATACCAATGCATGTGTTGTCTACTTTTAGATTGCGTCACTGATTCAGAGATATCAGCCGCTTTAGTGAGCCTATCAAGCCTTTTCCTGCTCGTGGACATCTCATACCTCTCGCACATCAGAATCAATGATCACATAGAACTGAACTTATACACCACACACACACACAACCAGCTAAATGCGATTTTTATGCTCGGTCATATTTCCTCCGTCACATCATATTTCTAAAGCATGCCCATATAGCATACCACGAGCCTGCAACCCACAAAAATACCATTTCTCCATGGATGACGCTCCTAACGTATGTGCTATCTGAACAGCATACCAGATGTTTTCAAAAATATATGTTTCGCCACAAAATCTCTTTAAATATTTTTTATCGCCACGTTTTTCCAAACGGGCGGTTATTTTCCTGATATACGAGTAAGCACCTGGCATATCCAGGATCTTTACTACCATTCTATGTATATACAATACTGAAGCCTGCATATTTCTCGTATAGTAATTTTACCTTATTTCATTTCCAGGAAACATTCCAGAGAACACAGGAAACGCCGGTTGAACACAGGTTTCCGGTAAGTGATTATAGCAGTCAATTTATAATATGGCAGTTATTACGTCTACCTGGCCTGACGAATGTATTTGATTATAGGCAATCTGTCTTACTAGAATGTTTCTGATATTAGATATGCAGAATTATTCATTAATGAATTTCAGGATCAGTATTTTACTATACAATGTCTATGTTATACGAGCTAGTTTGAGACATCCTCAATCATCAGTGTTCGACACCCAATACCACAATGATGATTATGAAATGATATTTATTCGCCAAAGTAACAAATTATAAATATGAATAATAAATTATATGAGTACCTGAACACCACAGTTAAGGCTTTGAAAAATATTGTTTGGAGCCACTATTGTATGGGGTGTAGAAATAGCAATATTGCTTTAGGACTAGTCCGCCCTCAGTAAACTAAATAAGACAGTTGTTTTTACTTCTTACGCACAAACTTCCTTTTTGTGACGTTTTAGAGTGTCCTGATTATTTTTAGAAAACATTTTTTAGGGGTTGAAATTTGGAGGTTCTAGGTGCTGGGGTGAGGGTATATGATTTTTTTTGATCATTGTATTTATACTTTAACAACCCCGGTAATTCTATGAATCTATTAGCCATATTTCACACATCATAGATTTATCTGTACATTTGCCTTTAAAACTTGATTTAAAAATAATATAGAAATGTTTTCGATCCGCTTTGCTAAGGAGAAGGGGTGGCTTCCGGCAATACCAGCTGCAAAACAGCTACAAGCAAAGCTGGAGGAGTGTATGGTATTTCTCCGCAATGCCTTCCCACGCTGGAAGATTAAAATCCCATAAAAAAATGGACGAGGTAGCACCCAAATCAAATCAACTAAACGTAAGGTTACTATATGAAGGGGTACTACTCCACATCTGGGTTAAACCAATGGCGCTCACACCACAATATCAGGAGGAAAGTGACTGATACGAAACAAGTAACTTTATAAAGGAAGGTTCAATGAGTGGCCTTGAAGAAGATATGTTCGATAGACAACCCAAGTAACGGAGAAAAACCACAGAATTTTTTTCCTATCGAAGCGCACCTCCTGGCAAACCATTCCGCAGGGGTATTCTGTAAAAAAAAAAAACGTAAAAAACGACCAAATGTCATCTTGCGGACTAGGTAGTTTTTAGCGTGCAAATAGTTCATTCCACGTGCGCTCGCTATGATCGCTGTTTCCTGATGTTTAAGCAACACTTAAGTGTATAACAGCTTGTGCTAAGATGACATATTGTAGAAAACCTTCTTATCTCGCAAAAGAACCTACGGATTGTTAAAAAAACGACGAAATGTCAGTTTTCAAGATACCTGATACCCGTGCCGGTTATAGATGTATCCGTAATGAAGCGCAAAAAACATACGCACCTTGCACGAAACGAGAGATAACTGGCTGCAGATTTGGAAAGTTACAACGTTCCCACATGGTCGGTAACTACTAGTAGGACAGGGAAAGATTTTATATGGACTAATTATTGTTTGTGCCCGACTTAATACATTTAATTTCTCTGTTGTACATGTCCGTAACTCAGTTTCTCAGAGAATTTAAATTGCCCTTAACTTAATCCTTTACGAATCGATGGCGGCGTTGCGTAGAAATTGCAGAGGAGTCAACCCATCTGACGCCGTTTTTTATG